CAATCTCTACACAATCAACCACCACCATCAATATCAATCTCTACACAATCAACCACCACCATCAACATCAATCTCTACACAATCAACCACCAACATCAATATCAACCCCTACACAATCAACCACCAACATCAACATCAATCCCTACCATCAACCACCAACATCAACATCAATCCCTACCATCAACCACCAACATCAACATCAATCCCTTCACCATCAACCACCAACATCAACATCAGTCCGTACCATCAACCACCAACATCAACATCAATCCATACCATCAACCACCAACATCAACATCAATCCCTACACCATCAACCACCAACATCAACATCAATCCGTATCATCAACCACTAACATCAACATCAATCCCTACCATCAACCACCAACATCAACATCAATCCCTACCATCAACCACCAACATTACATCAATCCCTTCCATCAACCACCAACATCAATGTCAATCCATACCATCAACCACCAACATCAACATCAATCCGTACCTCCAACATCAACATCAATCCCTACACCATCAACCACCAACATCAACATAAATCCCTACACCATCAACCACCAACATCAACATCAATCCGTATCATCAACCACCAACATCAACATCAATCCCTACCATCAACCACCAACATCAACATCAATCCCTACCATCAACCACCAACATCAACATCAATCCCTTCACCGTCAACCACCAACATCAACATCAGTCCGTACCATCAACCACCAACATCAACATCAATCCATACCATCAACCACTTACATCAACATCAATCCCTACACCATCAACCACCCACATCAACATCAAACCCTACCATCGACCACCCACATCAACATCAATCCATACCATCAACCACCAACATCAACATCAATCCCTACACCATCAACCACCCACATCAACATCAATCCCTACACCATCAACCACCAACATCAACATCAATCCCTACCATCAACCACCAACATCAACATCAAACCCTACCATCAACCACCCACATCAACATCAATCCGTACCACCAACATCAACATCAAACCCTACCATCAACCACCCACATCAACATTAATCCGTACCACCAACATCAACGTCAATCTCTACCATCAACCACCCACATCAACATCAACCCGTACCACCAACATCAACGTCAATCTCTACCATCAACCACCCACATCAACATGAATCCGTACCACCAACATCAACGTCAATCTCTACCATCAACCACCCAAATCAACATTAAACCGTACCACCAACATCAACGTCAATCTCTACCATCAACCACCCACATCAACATGAATCCGTACCACCAACATCAACGTCAATCTCTACCATCAACCACCCACATCAACATCAACCCGTACCACCAACATCAACGTCAATCTCTACCGTCAAACACCCACATCAACATCAATCCCTACCTTCAAACACTAACATCAGCATTAATTTCTTTCACCATTAACCACAACCATCAGTGTCAATCCGTACCAATCTTTGTCACCAATATAAATCAAACTCAAAATAACCCACATACCAATACAACTGCTGTGTAAGCTAAATTATAAAGTAAAGCAAACCATGCAATGCTTCATTAATGAACGAAACATTATAACTAAAAATAAATACTTGCACAGTACAGTACATGCATATCGAAATGGCTTAACCAGTCCACACCTGCTCTCTTAAAATTATCTTAACACGATCATTCCAACACTGTAATGCTGAGTGTGAACTAATAATGTTACTTGTTTTTATTTCCGCTCAATTAAAATACCTTTAAGATCACTCCCCAAATCGTATACACATACCACTTTTTGGAAACACAATTACGGTTGGAATGATAACGTGAATATTTTTATACTGGTTTAGCCATGTGTAATCGAGTTTAGATCGGTCCTTACTTTGTGCTCTGTTTACGAAAGCTTGGAGGTCACACATGAGGTGAGGTGTTGGCCCAAATCTCACCCGATGTGGTGTGATCGTTGTCTATTTTGATCCATCTCGTACGATATGCAAATAGATGTATAACCATTTGGGGAATGTAGCATAACATGTATTCTTTGTCAATACTATAAATACAGACCATCTGTCATCTCAATTTATTGTCCTTGTTATCTTTTGTGTCGTCTGTGTTTTCCCGCCACGACAGCAGACGACATTTAGGAGTCAGTGACCTCAAGGGCTGCGTCTAACATTTTCCATGTTTTCATGAACAAAACCTAATCTAGGGTACCCTTATCGACCGCCAAACCGAACATCAAACGAAGAACGTTATTATTATCATGTTCCACGAATGAACTCCGCGAACTGCCATCATGTGACCCAAGCATCCCTGGTATTTTCGCATGTTCCTTGTTCACGCTCCGGCAACCCGGGCACCATGACTCCGCCGTCTTTGTTGACGTTTTTCTCTGTAAATATGGAGGTCGCATACTTTCAGCGTAAAGCCTATGTTCACCTAGGTGATGTTACTTGAGCTAAAAATACCTCTGTCTCGTGCCGACCTCTTGTGTCGAGAGGTCAGTAGACCAGGTTGGTGCATTTGTTGCAGCAAGTCTCGCGAGAGTTTGCTCTGTTTACGCCTGAGAACCTGTGACTCTCATTAATAACTTACTTAAATGAACCTCGCAGTAGATACATATTTGGTAACGCACTTAACCGTCATTGTACAAACCTTTCTTTCCTATTAAGCTAAGACGGTACGAGTTAGTGTGTTATAGCACAGCGGGCATAGAGCAAGAGCGTTTCAGGTTTGGCGGTAACAATTAGACTTTATTTAGCATTACCAGGGATGGTAAACTCTCCTTTGTACCTGTCTGACATTTGGTTAAGTTAAACGATCTTCTTCAAGCTGCATAATACATTTGGCGTGGGTGGCTGAACACAAATCAGTCCCCGCGTCTATAATAGTCTGACTCACGGCCAATTATACAGATGGTTTATATTCATATTTAAACTTCAAGGCATTCCTCCTCCAAGTCCATGTACATATTTGGTGACAGAGGTTTACATGTAAGCAAACTTAAGCTGCTCTTCAAGCCATAATCCGGATATCTTTGTGAAGAGTGTGCTTTCAAATTGTGAAGGCCTTGCGTGCAGCGTATAGCCTATGACATTTCGTTGTGTGTGTGAGAGCTGACAGCGCCATGGTCGGGGGAACTCACGACATGATGATGCAATAGTCTGAAACATGCTCCACTTCGCGCTTCGCTTCTCTGACAGGGTTTTACATGTAAAATCACATTTAAAAATCGTAATGTAATGTTACTACTACTACTACTAGTAGTACTACTACTACTACTAGTAGTACTACTACTACTATTACTACTACAACTACTACTACTGCTACTACTACTACTACTATTACTATTACTATTACTACTACTACTATTATTACTACTACTACTACTACTACTACTATTACTACTACTACTACCGCTATTACTACTACTACTACTACTACTACAACTACTACTACTACTACAACTACTACTATTACTACTACTACTACTACTACTACTACTACTATTACTACTACTACTACTACTACTACTACAACTGCCACAGTACCTCCTCGTTTGATATCCTGAAGAAAATCCTTTAAACAAAAAACTATGCATATAATATACAAAAACCCACCCACCCCTAATATCAAATGGTCGGTTTCCTACTACGTCTACTACTACATAAATAGCACCATACCTCTACGTCTACTACTACATAAATAGCACCATACTACTACGTCTACTACTACATAAATAGCACCATACCTCTACGTCTACTACTACATAAATAGCACCATACCTCTACGTCTACTACTACATAAATAGCACCATACCTCTACGTCTACTACTACATAAATAGCACCATACTACTACGTCTACTACTACATAAATAGCACCATACCTCTACGTCTACTACTACATAAATAGCACCATACCTCTACGTCTACTACTACATAAATAGCACCATACTACTACGTCTACTACTACATAAATAGCACCATACCTCTACGTCTACTACTACATAAATAGCACCATACCTCTACGTCTACTACTACATAAATAGCACCATACTACTACGTCTACTACTACATAAATAGCACCATACCTCTACGTCTACTACTACATAAATAGCACCATACTACTACGTCTACTACTACATAAATAGCACCATACCTCTACGTCTACTACTACATAAATAGCACCATACCTCTACGTCTACTACTACATAAATAGCACCATACTACTACGTCTACTACTACATAAATAGCACCATACCTCTACGTCTACTACTACATAAATAGCACCATACTACTACGTCTACTACTACATAAATAGCACCATACCTCTACGTCTACTACTACATAAATAGCACCATACTACTACGTCTACTACTATATAAATAGCACCATACCTCTACGTCTACTACTACATACGTAGCACCATACCTCTACGTCTACTACTACATACGTAGCTCCATACTACTACGTCTACTACTATATAAATAGCACCATACCTCTACGTCTACTACTACATACGTAGCACCATACCTCTACGTCTACTACTACATACGTAGCTCCATACTACTACGTCTACTACTATATAAATAGCACCATACTACTACGTCTAGTACTACATACGTAGCACCATACCTCTACGTCTACTACTACATAAATAGCACCATACCTCTACGTCTACTACTACATACGTAGCTCCATACTACTACGTCTAGTACTACATACGTAGCACCATACTACAACATCTACTACAGCATAAGTAGCAACCTACTACTTCCTCAACTACTACATAAGTAGCACCATACTACTACGTCTACTACTACATACGTAGCACCCTACTACTGCGTCTACTACTACATAAGTAACTTCATGCTACTACGTCTACTACTACGTACGTAGCATCCCACATCTACTGGTACCCTACAAGCACTACAGTTAGCGCCCCTTCCACAAGCAGTAATCCAATATGCCGTTGTACATTGCAGGCCATCTGGTGGTGGTCGGAGACGAGCGAGGAGATCAGTGGTTCTCTACACGGCCAATCATTACACAACCTGTCTGCATCATGGAAGGTAAGAATCGCCCATATTTCATCGAACTAACTAGTTCCTTGAAACACGTGCCATCTTAATATAGAATCAGCACCAGCCGTTTATTTACCCTATTTAAACCCCGAAGAGGATTTCAAGTTAGCCCCTTACCTCATGCATGTCTTAAGAGCCGATTTACCTAGCAGTATGAAATTGTATCAACCACTGGTTTGTTTGGTCACCTCCCGATAATTTATAGGCCGTGGTATACAATTGACTGCGGCGTTAAAAAAATCATTTACAAATTCTCCATACGGGAATTATTTACATTTTGCTTTGGTCTCTATATGAGAGTTAGATCCCGTACAACAATTAATAGAATAAAAACCAGTCAAGTTTAGGTTCATATGGAAATATTAATTTTTAAATCGTGATGTTGTGAAGAAACTAATGATGCTTTGCATATGTTGATGTATGCTCAAAATGTTGTTTACGGACATGTTCAAGTGTTAACGTCTGAGTGTTTGCAACATAATTTGAATAAACAATTTCCAATTTCCGTCTGTGAAATATCTAATTTATTTGTAGGCATGTGTTCCACTTGAATGTATAATCCCCTTTCTAGTTTAAAATGATTCATGTACTGATAACCTTCTCTTGTAAAAATATCGTTTGAGAAATGACTACTTTGTTTTTCATTTAAATAAATCCTTCCTGTCTTGGTGCGTGACATGACGTCATATCGCGAGTTCTAGTTGCATAGAAGCTAACCAGGTTTAAAACAGTTGTTTAAAACGTTTGTGAATAAATATGTCGACGTTCCACAAAGATCAAAGCGATCTTAGTTGAGACTGTTGTAAGTTATAGCCGTGGTTGTGCTCGCCATGATGAATGGGGTGCTGGTCAATGGATTTAGGGTTAAAAGGCTGTATTCATGTGAAATTCAATAGATCTTGTGTATTTGATCTATAACTCAATTTCATCAGTATATTATAAGTATGTACGTAATAGAACTACTAAAGCTTTTTAAACCTTTACGAACAATGAATGTGACGTATATGAGGTAAGTGACGTAAGTGACTATGTGTTATACTCTACTTCTTGACCTGGTATTCTGCTCAGTCAGGATGGAGAAACTGTGAGCAAAGGTACCGGTGACAAGTGTTGTTGTCAGCATTAAGTCTCATCAAGTTGAAGTCTTGGGGAGCTTCGAATATATGTCAAGTTACCCGCAGCTCAATACGACAGGAGTGCTGATATTGTAGCATTGTGTCGATACTGACTACAATGATACATGCACACACATCGAGGCAATGACGTGGCAATAAAGTACTCCAACACTATGTGACACCTTTATTTGTTGTCGGTAAAGGGAAAGGCATATATTATACTTTTGAAGAGATGAAAACGTATTGCAAAACTATGCGATTGCGCCTTACTAGAGTGCGTGAGTGAGTGAGTATTGTTTTACGCCGCTTTTAGCAATATTCTATGGCGGGGGACACCAGAAATGGGCTTCACACATTGTACCCATGTCGGGAATCGAACCCGGGTGTTCGGCGTGACGAGCGAACGCTTTAACCACTAGGCTACCCGCCTTACTAGACATACAATTCATATGCGCATATTGTGATGAATATTGGTATTCGGAGAAATCAGGTCGATGGAGTAACCTAGTAGGACCGCATTAGTTCGTTGGGCTACATTTCCCCACGTGAGTACAATGTGTGATGCCAATTCCTGGAGTACCCCGCCGTGAATTGCCTGAAATATTGCTAAAGCGGCAGAAAACCAGACACACTGGCTCCATCTCAGAACACGGGGATACGAGCGGTCACGTGATCTGACAATATTGAGTACTGATGTTCCTTCACGGCGTTTTGACGACCGTCCTTCCGAGACCCTTACACCATCATGGCCGATGGCCCACGTCGTCATGCGTAACATGACACCATGGATGGCGCACTTGTACTGTTTGTTGTAAAGCTCACCTCCGTATCTCAAATGGAGAGAATTTCCTAGACTGAAAACGCGATGTGAAATCTACATCACTCATTAAATCATAGACGTATAAATGGTTAATGATGCAGATGTATATTTCAAAGATACGTTTGTATACTAATGTCATTACGTCTTCGTGCAGCTGTATGTGTTCCAGATGACTTTTGTATACAGTTTCTTTTAGATCTTACAGATGATATATGTATACAATTATGATTGAGATTATACACCTAACGTATGGATTTGACCAACCAGATATGTCTTCAGCAACCCATGCTTGCCGTAAAAGGCGACTCTGGTTATCGTAAGAGGCGATTAACGAGAACGGGTTGGTCACGCTCGCTGACTTGGTTGATGCATGTCATCGTATCCCAATTGTGTAGATCGATGCTCATGGGGTCAATCACTGGATTGTCTGGTCTAGTCTAGACTCGATTATTTACAGACCGCCGTCATATAGCTGGAATATTGTCCAGCTAGATGCCGGCGGCCTGTAGATAATCGACTCTGGACCAGACAATCCGGTGATTGATATTGTGAGTAACGATCCACGCCGATGAGGTACGGAGGCAGGCAGTCAACCACATCACCAAGTCTGACCACCTCATCCATGTGTCGCCTCTTACGCCCAGCATGGGTTGCTGGGGATCTATTCTAACCAGGACTCCCTAGGGGTGTAAGAAATAATGCACCACAACGTTGTTTATCAACACACTACAACACAACATTACTCAACAAGACAACACAATACATGCACAGCACATCACGACTCACTATGTTACCTATGTTACACCCTAGACAACACAACACAAGTCAGCTCAACAGCGTCTATGTTTACACGGCGACAATTGATGCATATACCAGACTACAGTAACAAATGTCCTATACATGCGGACATCAAGTACATTAAAGGCAGTAATTCTATTCAGTTTGAAGGTCAGCTTCTCAGTAACAGTTATTCAGCTGCATCTGATTATATGTCTTGTCCGTGAGTCATGGGTGTAGCGTGTTCAAGTGATGACACTACACAGGCGAGAAACCCACACCATGAGACCTGTAGAATGAATACGAGCAATATACGATTACATTGGTGTCTACTGAATCAATGGATGTCTTAAGGCATATGAAGCAGCTGTTTTGAGGTATGTACTTTTGCAATGGCGCTGTGCGTGTAAGTAAGAGCATTACCCAGAGAATGCTTGTACTCAAGTTTCGCGACATTCACTCAAACAGGTTAGTGTTGAACGGCTAACATATATCCACTTTTTTTTATAATCTATTACATTCCCAGTAATGTGGGCCCTGGTGAGGATATATCTCCAGAGCTTTATGGTTTGGTGACTACTTTCGGGTGGTCAGACTCTTTGATTGTATGTTATCGTTGTACATAATATCAATCACTGGTTTGTCTGGCCAAGACAATTACTTGCTATTGTAGCTGGAATATTGTGGCATCACACAACACATACCGCAGTAATGGATATGTTGACTATCCTCCAGGTTAGCTACAGTAGACATATCGGAAGTCTGGAAATCATTCAAGGCTACCCTGTCGCTTGTTACAAGCGTCGAGAAAAACCCATGCCTCATGGCACGACATAAGACTTACACATAGGAGAAAGGATATGTTTTTCAAGCACACGTCTGTTAGCCTGGAACTGTCGTCTTCGTCAAGAAAGGGGCTTTGGTAATAAGTGGGTTCGGAGGTCAGAACCTTGTCTCATTACTTCAGCTTGCAAATGGCCTAAATGAGCAATTTGAAATGAAGCATGTGCAATATTAGGAATACGAGCATATTTAATTCGTACCAGATGTTGACTAAATAAACTTGATCATGTTTTTGCGAGACGCGTTAAGAAACCACGGGGCGTTTGGGAAGTTTGGGCTAGAGGCATTCCATTTTGTGAGTATTGTATGCAGTTTTTTCATGAAAATGTTTCCATATTGCAATGCATCCCTATGTTAGGTTGGGCGTTACTTATTAGTGTCATTACTGCAGGTATTCATTCACAAGTAGGATGAAATAGATATGTACGTGTTCTCACGTACCCCTGTTTTATCATTACCAGTTAGAATAACAACAAACGAGGAGGACACCATATTACTATTTCAAGATCTATTGAACTGGAGTTGGTCATTTTGGACAGTCGCGAAATGTGTAACGATGTGTTTGTGGGATTCCTGGCAACGGGTCATGACATCATCTGCATGTTTCTCTGAAATACGTGCCAGCTGGGATGTCGTGTGATTGTCTATTTCCGTCAATCCCAGCGAGGCCACACGCTTTGGTAGTCTTCAATATAATGCACGGTGGCCACGTGGTTTAGCCTAACCTGTACTAAGGACCAATGACTGTCCTCACCATCATGGTATGAACTTGAGGATAATATGACATCCGTTTTTTCATGAAAATGTTTCCATATTGCAATGCATCCCTATGTTAGGTTGGGCGTTACTTATTAGTGTCATTACTGCAGGTATTCATTCACAAGTAGGATGAAAAAGATATGTACGTGTTCTCACGTACCCCTGTTTTAGAGATGGTTTGTTTTGAAATGGTTTGAGGTATGTGTATGTCGTTTTAAAAGGTCCCATCTATTTGTTACGTATATGTATATCATTATAAAAGGTCTTATTTTCCTTTGTCTTTAACTGTATGTCGTTATTAATGGTCTCGTAATCTTTAAATTAAACTGTATGTCGTTATTAAAGGTCTCATATGCCTCCATCTTAAACTATATGTCGTTATATTAAAGGTCTCATGTAGCTTCATCCTTAAACTGTATGTCGTTATTGACTCACTCACTAACTAATATGCATTCATCTTAAACTGTATGTCGTTATATTAAAGGTCTCGTGTAGCTGCATCCTTAAACTATATCTCGTTATTGAAGGTCTCATATACCTTCATCTTAAACTATATGTCGTTATATTAAAGGTCTCGTGTAGCTGCATCCTTAAACTATATGTCGTTATATTAAAGGTCTCATGTGCCTTCATCTTAAACTACATCTCGTTATTAAAGTTCTTATATACTGCCATCTTAAACTATATATCGTTATATCAAAGGTCTAATGTAGCTTCATCGTTAAACTGTATGTCATTATTAAAGATCTTATATACTTTCATTATAAACTATATGTCGTTATATTAAAGGTCTCACGTAGCTTCATCTTTAAACTGTGTGTAATTATTAAAGGCCTCTTATACATCTCACCTTAAACTACATGTCGTTATTAAAGGTCTCATATACCTTCCTCTTAAACTATATGTCGATATATTAAAGGGCTCATGTAGCTTCATCTTAAACTATATGTCGTTATAAAAGGTCTCATATACTAGTACCTTTTTAAACTGTATGTCGTTATTAAAGGTCTCATATTCCTCTCATCTTAAACTATATGTTGTTATTAAAGGTATCAGCATATAAGTATGTCGTTATAGAAGATAAAATAGAATACATAGAATAACTCCAATATTTTTATTATGTTCAAGTACATGTGTATGGGTTGAAAGGTCTCGTATACTTATATCAGGTACACGTGGATAAGCATTGCGTCACGAGCTGTCCTCTGTGGCATAGCAGTTATATGAATGTCATTAGTTAAAAGTCAACATACTTTATAAGGTATATATGTCATCAAAACGATATCATGTGATCATAGCTGTACGTTTATTAGTGATATATATTAACAGTTGTCTCAACGGATATTCCTCGGAAGAAATTAATTTATTTATTTCATATTTGGACATTTAGTAAATCCTAAGGGCTGAAATCTGCGTTTCGTTTCTAAGATACTGCACAAATCTTTAAAAAAACACGCTATGTGGATGATACGCTATGTGAAGTTTCGCGCAGGGTCATATTCAAAAACAAATTTAAGATGAAAGAGAAGAGAAGAGTTACCTCACAGTAAAGACTTCAATGTCATTTAACGCGCGAAGGTGTGTTAATACAAGCACAAGGGTACCGGCAGAAGGTAATTCAGTCTTCAAAAAAGACATTTGATAGAATCAAGTTTTATTGCAGTTTGAATGCTTTCATTTCTTTGTATAACTTTTCATCTTTGTGACTTGAGTCACTGCCACCTGTATTAATGAAACGTAAAGGTACATGTGAATGGAGGATGATGCAAGGTTCATGCATCGTGAAGCAATCGGTGTAATTTATATACCACACAACGTGGTCCACATTGCATCACATCGATCAATCATTTCACTCGGGGAGTCCTCAGGTACACCTTTCTACCATTTTACACTCTTTCATATCTGTTTTTTTTAAGTACATTTTTTACCATGTCATAATCTGCTTGAATGCACTTTACGGCTCTTTGCCAGTTCAGAAATAGATGATTGCTTTTATTTTTGCGTTACGGTTCACAAAATATAAGATATTTGCTCTCACAGACCCAGGAGTGAACTCGACATAGTAGAAAATGTTAATTGAAAACAGTAGATGTGTTTTGTTGTTTAGCTCGTCCTTTTTGTTAAAGACATGTACGTTGTGCGTTCACGAGTATTGTTTTCCACAAAGCAACGGTACAAACTCAAGAGCCCTAGTTTAACGTGTGGAGGGAGAGAGCGGGAAGTCTCTCAATGGATGGTAATGCTAGCTTACAGGACATGCACGATCCAGAGGAATGTCGGAAGCGCGTAGCCGGCGATTATGCCTCTATGCTCGAGTTACACTGAATCCTAAATGCGCGTAAAAATGATACGGATGCTCTTCAGGAAGGTATTGTGTTACCAGTTAGAATAACAACAAACGAGGAGGACACCATATTACTATTTCAAGATCTATTGAACTGGAGTTGGTCATTTTGGACAGTCGCGAAATGTGTAACGATGTGTTTGTGGGATTCCTGGCAACGGGTCATGACATCATCTGCATGTTTCTCTGAAATACGTGCCAGCTGGGATGTCGTGTGATTGTCTATTTCCGTCAATCCCAGCGAGGCCACACGCTTTGGTAGTCTTCAATATAATGCACGGTGGCCACGTGGTTTAGCCTAACCTGTACTAAGGACCAATGACTGTCCTCACCATCATGGTATGAACTTGAGGATAATATGACATCCGTTAATAGCTGTGAAGCCAGGAGTGCCTACTCGGTGTAACACATTCTCGCCTTAAGGTACATAGCATTTTTTCAGGTTTGTTGTTCAAGTTTATTATCTCGCACGCAAGCCGATGACTTTTTAATATGTATGATGTGACTGAGAGCACGATTTAAACACATTTGGTCTGTTTGATTCAAATTTTGTTTTATATCATATTTAAAGTTGTTGTATGTGTTTTGTATGTAAAGGTCAAAGGTAGCCTACTTTTGTGATTAATACTTCCGTAGATTGTAGTGTTGACGAGGTCACCATGCTTGTTTGGGTATCTTAATGAGTGCAGTACTGCGCTAATTTCCGTGTTTCATAATTCGAGTCTCTTTTAACAAGGAGGTGATGTTGATAAAGAAGTTATCAAGTACTGCGGCGGTATTTAGGGACGGTTAATAACTTTTTCCGGGCCCTGAGAGCTTCACGCAGTATGTCCCAGCCTATTGCCCCATTGAACAGATAAACGCAATTTAAAATCTCGTCAGCTTCGAGAAAATGTTTCTACTACCATATGCACAATCCCCCCGTGGAGGTTGAGACGTCGAATTTTCTATGCTGGAAATGTGTTTCAAAATGTCTTCCCTTTTCTTGCAGTGTTCACTGGTCAACCGGTCAACCGGAACTGGATACTGGCCAAACGGAAGTGGAATTACCGGAAGTTAAAAGTAAAAACGAAAATTGTGGACGGGTTTGCTGCCCTAAATGCGGGTCCAGAGGACATTGGAATAAGTCCAAAATGCTTCGAGTGACGGGTCAATGTATTTTGTTTCTAATAATAGCTTCCTGTGGTGGGTTGATCATAAACAACAATTTTGGTGGGGACGAACACGCGCCGGGAATAGTGGATATAGTTGAGACAACACAATTAAAAGTAAGTACCTGTTTTGTATCTTTCTCAAACCAACATGCATTGTGGTAAATTCTTAAATTCTAGTTGAATTTAGTTTAAATGAAACGTGTTTTATCACCATGAGGAATCGTTGTTAATACAGGCAACGTTGGATATATCAAAAGGGTCATTTTCTCTTGGGTAGTAGTTGGTAACATTATTGTAATTGTCGTTGGTGTGTTGTTTTTATACAGTAAAACCGTGTTGGTCCGGAGATAACACTATGTTTTATATACTTTGCTATCCTATACATCGAGGGGGGTGAAATGGGGCTTAACGTCGCGTTGAAGATTATTACACTTATTTAGCGATGTGCATGCATGCGTGTGTGTGTGTGTGTGTGTGTGTGTGTGTGTGTGTGTGTGTGTGTGTGTGTGTGTGTGTGTGTGTGTGTGTGTATGTGTGTGTGTGCGTGTGCGTGTGTGGTAATCCGAACTGATGCCGATTTGCCTAAAGTCGAACAATCTCACTGAGATACCATGCCGTAGTTTATCATGAATACCCCACTCAGACACAGTATACTGACTCCGAGCCAACCAGTCCTTGATTTAGCCCCCTTAATAACGAGCGTCAGGCAGGGTAACAACAAGTACCATCTTTTAACGTCTTTTGGTATGACACGGCCGGGGATCGAACCCCGGACCTTCCGCTCCCTGGGCAGACAGTCTACCACTAGACCACGGAGGCGGTCTCCTATCCTGTTGGATATCCGTGCAGTGTTGTTGTTTACAAATGAACATTACCCCTCCCATAATTCGTTTCTCTGGACGCTTTTACAGGTTTAACAAGGTTTCAATGAAATCCGAAATTGCTACTTCGCTGTATTTGTGATTGAATCGTGACTGCTGGTAAAATCAAATAATTGGCTGTCTCCAATTTCTAATATGTCATGCCATGCAATGCTAAACCTTAACTCGTGAAAGATGTTTTCTTATAAACATCAAACATTTGTGAATAAGAACATCAATTGTATCATGTGTACAACTTGAAATAGATTATTATCTTGCTTTCAATATGTCATGGTTCTATACCACCCTATATATTTCTAAGGTTGTATGTAACTATAGTGATTGGTAAAGCACGTGGTTTTTAAGTGCATGTAAGCAAACGGTTGTTTTAATAGTCCGTAGTGTGGTTTCGCTCCCTCCTTCACACAACAAAGGCTTCTGGGTCCGGGAAAAGGAATTTGCTTCCGTCTTATCTTAGAAAAAGACAGGTGGTGAAGTTCGTTTTTGATTTTGTTTTGATAGGTTTCCATGACAGCGGATGGGATTATCATTTCAGTTTACTTAGTCATCCTTACTGATTAGCTTTCTTTTATCAAGATGGCGTTTCTGCAACCACGTTTGAACATGCGCGGGACTTTGATCAACATTTTTGTTTCCGGTTTCTGTGAAAGTGATAGAGGGTTTGCCTGAGACGTTCACAGCTCATGATGTTGACTTAGCTCTCGTTACTGCTGTTGACGTTGAGCATAATTGATTAATGTTCGAGGTTTAATATAGAATAAAATAATTTAAAAAAAAATTAAAATCATATATTTTATTGCCAACATGTCACCTTCAATAAATAATGGAAAGTTCATTGTAGTTTCATATAGTCCAGTTCTGAACTATGCGAGTGTGAATTTGGCCCCATTTCGGCGTGATAGATTCAAATGCACTTAGTTTTGAAAGACGCCTTGATACACGGTTTACAAACGTTCAATACACCTCGACAAAACCAGTTTCTGATAGTGTTAAAGATTATTCACATAATGACATTTGACATTCGATTTAAGCTTTATATAAATACAGTTTAAACAGAATGGAGTGGTTTTCTTTCTTCCTTATGTAAATGAATATAACCTACAATGTGTTTAAAATGTCACACCCAGCTGATAGGAACATATTTACCTGTCGTCACAGGCGCAGTACAGTCCACACCTTGGGATGTGTCATTTCTATTCACCCATTGTAGTTGACGAGCTATTCATAACCGCATGGGGATGTGATCAAGGACTGGTCGGCTCGGAGTCAGTTTACTGTGTTTGAGTGGGATATTCATGTTAAACTGCGGCATGGTATCTCAGTGGGTTAGCACTATAAAATCGGCATTAGTCTAGTAGTATGACTAGTACACACACAAACAGACATATAAGTGCAATAATCTTGAACGCGACGTTAAACCCCATGTACCCCACCTCACCTGTTTGATCGTTACATCATCAACATGCTATTCCATATACGTGAAATGTATAGATTACATATTTATTTATAAGGCAAAAGTATATTATATATCATAAATATGTCGGATAACTAGCTGACAGACAGGTACACGAATGTTCAATTTAATTGGAAGTTCAAAAACCCATTTCCGTTTTCCCCTTGCGTTTTGTTTATTTGCGGTACAGTTTATATATAGTACACATGTGTACAGATTGATATTGTCAACATATGGTAATGTCCTTATAACGCAAAAATATAGACCTTGCATAATATTAAAGTTAAGTGTTGATATTGATCTTACATATTATTAATATCAACCTTACATATTAAGGGCGGTCGGGTAGGCTAGTGGTTTAAGCGTTCGCTCGTCACGATGAAGACCCAGGTTCGATTCCCGACATGGGTACAATGTGTGAAGCCCATTTCTGGTGTCCCCCGCCGTGATATGGCTTGAACATTGCTAAAAACGGCGTAAAACCATACTCACTCACTCACCTTACATATAAGTATTGACCTTACACATAAATAGTGACCTTACATATTAATAGTGACCTTACATATTAATAGTGACCTTACTTATTGATGCTGAACGACGTCTTGACATTACATGACTTTGATTTAGATATTGACCTAACGTATCTATATTAGCCTTACGCCCTGGCATGCCTCTAAGATGGCAGTGCTCTTAAGTTAAAATAGCGCCTCGAATCGAAAAAGTCTCATTGAATGATTCACCTTCAAGATAGGAATATGTCACTACAAATCTTGTGTACCATACGCAGCACAGCAGGAGTAAACAAAAGATGTTGCTCATCAACGTAAAATAATTTGCATTTTGGACGCGTCTCAAGTTGTAGAAGATTCTTGCAACACGTTTCAAGGTTACAAGATGAAGTTTCATTCCACGGCATCGTTAGCCAGAAGTAAAATATTTACAAAATCAACGCTTGCTGAATCTATTTACGCATTCCAGGAAATGAATAGCATACTCGAAGTAAGATGCACGGTTTGTTCGTAATAACAAAGAATCTGTAACCTAAGGCAAGCTACTTCCTTACTTTTCTTATCAAATAATGAACTTGTTTGTTCCCGTGATTTTTTACATGTCGTACTAAGCGAGGAATCTATACCAAGGTAAAACGCTAATTTATAGCAGCATCGATATACCGATTGTAGGGCGTCCCAAAACCAAACCTGCCAGTTGTTCCAGGAATAAATTCAGCTTCGAATTCTGGCTAGAATAAACACTGAATTAGCCTTTGATCCGAAAATTCCTGTGTGCGGGGGCGAGGGTTGTTTCCTGTAGCTCATGAAGACAGTTGATTGAACTATAAACTCAGTATACTATGTAACGCTGCGAGCTCGAGTGTACACTGACGTGGAGAGCAAATATAATTTGCCCCCAGATAGGACGATGGAAGGGTCTCCTTATCACGTCGTAATTACTTAGTATTGATGATTATCGTGTAATAAGGAAATTGTGAACCAGGAAGTACCATAAAAAAACAAACTTATATGGGGGTTGATAGGTTGCTTTGGCTTGAAATATATTTTGTATGTTAATAAATTCGTAGAGAAATATGGAACTTAAGGTTTATGTCCTAAGTTCCTCAGGTCTGATCCCATGGCCCGGTACTGTGGTCAATATACGTGCAAGACTAAGTTTGGATTGCCTCTTTGGGTTGTTTGTTGTTAAACGATCTTTTACTGATCTGAAGATATTCCTTTTTATGCATGCTAAGCGGATACACCTACCTTTTTAAAAATCTTGCCAAGCTTTAAAAATGAATCCTCAAAGTTACTTGGTACATGCTAACATTCCTCACAAGCATCTGTATCGGTTGTAAATGTGCAATGAACCTCACACGTGCCTGCATTTGTCGCTGTATTTGAAGTCTTTTGGTGCATATTGAAGGAACTTATCTATATTTTAATATAATATAAAACGTCAGCGCCAGAGAATAATCAGTCTCGATTATTAAACGAACAGATTGGGCGTAAAAGGTAAAATATAATGGATGGACAGGGCAACCCCAGCTTAAAGATGCTGGGAAGTGCACCTTTAAATGATGAACAGTAGCATGTGTTTGCTTGTATGCACGGACATTGAATCTGTGGTTATGTAATTATAATGGTCGAAATTCTCGAGGTACAAAAACATAAAACATCTAACACAGCTAAACTTACAATAAGCACGGAAAAGAGATTTTCGGTGTAAATGAACTTTATTTTACCACCAGAGGGAGATAAGATATGTGTGTTGCCATAGAGACACACGTGAAACAGACAGTAAGGCAGACTTCACGATAATACTTGACTAAACATTCATTTTCGGTATCAAAGTATTTCCCTCTGCGAACGAGGCACCGGGTAATCGAATTAGAGTCCTGTGTGGGGCACTTAGATTAAGATAGGCAATTGAATCTTGTATAACCTGGTTCAACAGAGACATGTACAGGAAACGTAGATTACTGAATCTCACTACACCCCACCACAATATCAGCACTATTTTGATAATGGACGTTTAAACGCAGTTCCACATTTCTTCAGCCTGTGGTGTGATACGGAACTGAGTATTACATATAAAATGTAGGCTTTCCTATGGAAAGTAAAAGTTTAAATAGCTGTATTGCTGCTCATAATTTCAACTCCAAATCGTTTGTGTCATGTATAAACTGATACATGGCCCACATGTACATGTGCATGGATCAGAGCCAAAAATTCACTTACTGGAATTGCACATATTAAGCCCAGGCCTAATACTGGTTGTATCAC